TATGCCTAAGCAGGTGTGGCAGGGAGCAGCAGGCAGGTTCTGTCAATAGCATTTCATTTCCCTTTTTATCTCTCAAGTCACAAACTTGCAGTATTCAGTCTGCTGTCCCTTTTTTACCTTCTCGGCTGAGATGCATCTGAGCGAAATCCGTTCCACTGAAGTGACTGGAATTGGAGTCGAGCAAGTGTCGGGATTTCCGCCGGCGCTGGTGGCTGCTGGTACTTGCTTTTACTCGGTCCAGCCACTGCTGCACCAGCAGGTCAGGAATGAAAGGCTTTTTGGTGACCTACATAATTCTCCCCATGAAGCGGGATGACTTCAGAATGGCTCCCTATGGTAAACTTTTTTCCTTGATTTGACTAGGTCATCTTAAATAGCTCTGGCTAATAGCTAGTAGTTGTGAAAGCCTTCCTCTTTTTTTTTCTTTTTTTTTTCCCCTAATGTAGAAGTATTGCGATACAAAGGGAAGGTCGTTACAAAGGCTCTCCTGTATACATAGAGGAGTGTAGATCAAGTGAGTGACTAGCCGAGGGTTGCGCAGTAAAACCAGTCAGAGGACTGGGAAGAAGCTGTGAGTCCTGACTCCTGGGCTCCTGGGCTCTGTCTCCGGTCACTGCCCTCCTGTGGGCTCTAACCCGTGCTTCAGCTGCCAACGAGGCAAACGCGGCGGGAGGAAGAGGCAGGGGCTTCTGTGGCCTTTGAGACCTCCTTAGCGCAGTGACTCTGTGCTGCTTAAATATGTAAAATCAAATTTAAGTTATTAAGGGCAAAAAAAAAATTTAAAAAGCCTGTTGTGTTTTCTTACTTAGGGCGTTTCACGCTTAACTTTAGTGAGGGTGTTTGACAGCTCGTGTTTCTCTGCGCCGGGACACGCTGCAGGTCTCACATTTCTCTCCGAGAGCCCTGTAGCTGGGTTTATTTTGCTTGTAAAGCCGTTAAACTCTTGCACAGCAAACTTGCCCTGGGAGCCACGAGACTCTGCCGGCGCAAAGTGCTCGTTGGCTGCAGCCGACCCCGAAGCGCAGGATGTCGCGCGCCTCCTTGTGTATTTTTGGG